TGTGTTGCTTGTTTTTTTAAAGAATTTTTTAACCAAAACGCCCATCGTTTGGGAAAAAAAGAAGTATGTTTTCTGAAAATATAAAAATCAAATAATACAAATCTGACTCATTTAGATTTTTATGTTTAATTTTTTTTTTCTAAACAAAACATGAAAYGACGTCGTTTCATATCTTRAAAAAAAACGTGAATAAGATGCCAAGTCAGCACCATTAACAGAAAATTTAACACCGTAATATTTGAGGAATAAATACGCCTAATTTAATTAGTTTGGGTACGAAAATATAAATTATAAAGAGTTTGGGTAGTGTTACGCACACTTTGACAAAGTGGATAAATATTTTCGCACTTGATCAGAATGCGGGTAGAAATAAGCCGAAACCCCGGATTGGACGGTTGGACAATCAATAACATCTAAGAATTTTTTTTTTTTACCAAGTATACACAAAACAAATGTTCAAGAAGACATGCTAAAGTAATAGTGTCACACCATCATGAAGACATGCTAAAGTAATAGTGTCACACCGTTTTCAGTTGATTCATCGAAGCTTATTTTCTCTATAATGTTTTCGTTTTCTCTCGATTTTTCCATCCTCTTAATTGTATTAACTTTTCAATGCAATGTTTATTTATTTATTTATATGCAGTTCAAAAAGAAATTGAACAAAGGTTCTAGGAGCTAATACAAGTCAATAACTATCAACAACCGCCGTTAAACCAAACCGATCCGGTACGTTGCCAAATCAAAGATGCAAACCAAATAACAAATATGTAATCTCAAACCATACTGGGCCTTCCGTGCAGGTATTATTTTTGTTTTAGATAGGCAAAATCAAGATAATAAAGGCCCAAGCCCATTAAGTATACATCGAGTTAAGAACGACGCCGTTTACAATACCTTTCAAATTGCGTCAGTTTCTTTCTCTGAGAAGGTAAGAAAGGCCCTCCCATCATCATCAGTTTCATCACTATCGTCTCTCTCTCTTTCAAGCAAGCTCCTC